TAGCTCCTTCTGATGCTTCCTGACCTACAGCCACACACAGTACAGTCCCTTCATACCACCCCATGCCTCCTTGTCCTCCTATGTGTATGGTTTTCTCCGTAGCAAAAATGTCCTCTAACACTATTTCCACCTGCCAATCTCCTGCTTACTCAAATGTTTATGCTCCTTAAAATCTTTTCTGGAGGGAGTGGTGGCATAAATAGCCATAGACACTGGGTGAGTACTCATTTTTTCCTTATAATGTAACTGCTAAATATGTGTTTGAGTTTAAATCTACATATTGATTGCTAAGTATGTGTTTGTGTTTAAATCTACATATTGGTATTTGCTTTGCGTTTGTTGGTTTGTGCTATGTTTCTTTTCTTCTTCCTTTTGAAGTGTTTGAACATTTTAAATTATTCTCTTCCCTTGTTTAAGCTTGGTAGTTAGTTACAGGTCATCTTGCTCATCTTGTAATGACATTTCGGTCAATGATGGACCACATGTATGATGGTAGGCCCACAGATTATAGATGTGTAGTAGGCTATAGCATTTAGGTTTGTGTACGTACACAGTCCGGTGTTCACACAGTGATGAAATAAATCACTTAGCAATGCATTTCTCAGAATGTATCCCTGTCAATTGACACATGACCATACCTTAAAAGACCACAGAATTATATCCCAGATGTATCAAAAAGTCTGACATAAATGAATAGATTTGCCTCTTTCTGGGCTTTACCTCCTTCCTGACTTTGGTGATTTTGTGCTAATGTATTTTAATGTTCTGTATACCTGAAACTCCACAAGACTTTTTATTGGTGCTTTTATGGTGCTGTCCTGCCAATATTCATTCCATTTACACACATATTTATAGTCCCTGTAGTTCTTTATTCACCTACATCTTTGGTCTTCCATTTGGGATCACTTTCACTCTACTGGAACATCCTTTAGTAGCAGATTCGATGAGTTTACCTTTGTATCAGATGTCTTTATTTTCATTCCATTTTTAAAGGATCTTTCTGCTGTCTGTAGAATTTTGGGCATTTATTTAATTTCAGCACTTTAAAGATAACCAATTGATTATTTTCTGGTTTTAAAATTTCCTTGAGTAATCTGTTATCATTCTTATTTCCCTTCTTTCAAATGTTTCACCCCTGTCCTAGCACCTTCAGTCATATTTCTTTTTGGTTTTCAGCAGTTTTATGGGGAGGTGCCTAAGTGTGGGGTTTTCATTTTTCCCCTTTCTCTGTCTCTTTTGCATTTATGCTGCTTGGGTGATGAACACTTCTTGAATTTGGGGGTCTTTTTTTTTTTTTCCGTAATAATTTTGCCTCATTTTGTCTTCTCCTGAGATGCCAATTAAACATGTTAGGCTTTTTAAAAATGATTTCCTCTATCTCCTGAATTCTCAATTTGCTTCATTCTGGATGTTTTCTTTTGACCTGTCTTCCAATGTACTAAAATCACATTTCAGTTATCAAATCTGCTGCTAAAGTCAGTCATTGAGTTCTTTATTTCAGTTACTATTTTTGATTTTATAATTTCTAATTCTCTGCTGAAATTCTTGATCTTGACTTTCACTTCCTTGAATATGTAAGCCACAATAATTTAAAAATCTGTGTAAAAATAATTCCATTATATGAGGCCGTTGAGTCCATTTCTCTTGTATTTTAGATTTTGATCACATTGTCTTGTCTTGTGGAGTGCCTGGTCAGTTTAGATTGAGTGACAACTATTGCATATGATAATGATAAAGGAAATTTGAGGCCTAGGATGGTGTGATCTTCCTACCATAAATATTTGAGGTTATTTCTAGCAAGTGGTCATCACTGAATCCAGTCAGCAATTAAGGTCACTCAAAAATGTCATAGTTCCTTCAAAGGACATTGTATTGACAGTTTAATATTTCACGTATCCAGCACTTTCTAGTCTCAACTCAAAGCCCAGGGCTTTTACTAGAGTTCCCCCATCACCAGCAGCCCAGAACTCCACCTCTTT